AAACATTTTTTCCCCTCTTTTACTAATATTTAGTTGATATTTTGTTAGCTACATACTAAGCTACTGTTAATAAATATGCCACAGCTTGTCAATGTAGCATTAATGGATTGATAATGACTAATGGTTACTGCTTTGACATTACAGGGACTGATGAACACACTCAGCTCCTTATTCAGTGGAGAGTGGCTGATGAAGCCCTCTTCACTGGAAAGCGTAATGCTGCCATCAGAGGTTTTGAGTAAGTAAACAAGTTATGTCAAATGTACTTTTATTCAGGTGCTGTTGACACTGAACGTAGTAAATACTAACACTTCAAGCAAAGGTCTTACTGCCTTCTTTTTATGCTTGATTTCTGTGCATTTATTGTGACAGAGCAGGGACTTGAGGGCAAAATTTCTGCTGCTCAAGTCAAAAGAAAGTGGGAGAACCTAAAACAAAAATATAAAGTAAGATTATTTTTTTTAATTAGTTAACCCCAAAATTTTTATTAGTTCATGATTTGATGATGCTAATGTTTTTTAGCTAATGCTAATGTCTTGATATTGTGCTTTCCAGACCCGGGATATCCAACGAAGATATGGAGGAAGTTCCCCTCGTGGTCGGTGATGGCCTGCAGCTGAACAGTGGAACAGCTTCCTATTACAATAGCATGGGGCATCACTTGCTGGTGGCTTGATCCGGATGTGGCATCCGTCTATTGCACCAGCTACCATGTGGAAAACTGGAGACCCAGCCAGCTGCGCAAAACCTGCCCCCACTGCCTCCAGGTCATCCGGGGTCAGGAAAGCGATCAGCCTCCTCAAAACACTGATGACTGCCCTGCTGATTCTGTGCACAATGCCATGATTTCTGCCGCTCAAGTCAAAAGAAAGCGGGAGAACCTAAAACAAAAATATACAGTAAGATTTTTTTTTATTATTAGTTCACCCCAAAATTTTTATTAGCGCATGATTTGATCATGCTATTGTTTTTCCATGTCATAGTAATGCAGTAATCTAATGAATGTAATTGACTGTCTTGATATTGCGCTTTTCAGACCCGGGATAACGAGGAACTTCCCCTCGTGGTCAGTGATGGCCTGCAGCTGAACAGAGTGGAACAGCTTCCTATTACAATAGCATGGGGCATCACTTGCTGGTGGCTTGATCCGGATGTGGCATCCGTCTATTGCACCAGCTACCATGTGGAAAACTGGAGACCCAGCCAGCTGCGCAAAACCTGCCTCTCCAACAAAGATATCGAGGAACTTCCCCTCGTGGTCGGTGATGGCCTGCAGCTGAACAGAGTGGAACAGCTTCCTATTACAATAGCATGGGGCATCACTTGCTGGTGGCTTGATCCGGATGTGGCATCCGTCTATTGCACCAGCTACCATGTGGAAAACTGGAGACCCAGCCAGCTGGGCAAAACCTGCCCCCACTGCCTCCAGGTCATCCAGGGTCGGGAAAGCGATCAGCCTCCTCAGAATTCTGATGACTGCCCTGCTGATTCTGGGCACAATGTCATGCACCGTGGACTTTGGGATGTCAAAGCCCAGTGACACCAGCCTGTACGATGCTGCGTGGGCCAGCCAGTAGAGAAACACCAGCACCTCAACATCTTTTTCCCAGCCATGGTCAGAATCTGACTTCAAAGCAGCGATGAGGGACATGATGGACTGTCGTGAAAGCCGGAGGTTTGGACGGAGGTCAGATCCATCTTCGAAATACAATCGAAGGATTGGCACAGCAGCATTCAGGTGGCAGTAGGTTGTAGGGCTCAGTCTGTAAATGTGTGTATATATATTTTTTTAGAATATGTGTATTATTTATTTATTATGTTTATATTACTTATTATGTAATTTATGTATATATTATATCTATCTATAATATTTATTTAGACTATGTATATATTGTATGTATTCATTCTCTCCCTCTCTCTCTCTATTTATCCAATTGTGTATTATGTATTCATGCATACAAATAATATAAATCAAATTACATTAGTTTATCAGTAATCCTAAAAGATCAGTGATCTGCGAGCAGCTGACCGACGCCTCCTCTGAGCTGTTGATCCAATCAACGTTAAAACGCCGATGAAAGCGGTAAGAATAACGTGAAACTGCTGATGTTCGCGCAGTAGTGAGGGCTCTTTACATTTTGGCGCTGTTGTGAAGACGCATGTCACGTGACAACATCAACATGGCGGATGTAGTACGTCCGAATTCCATTCATACTACTCGCATTCATACTATATAGAACGTACTTTTTTAACGGTCGAGTAGTACGTTCAAATTCAAATGTAGTACCTACTAAGCAGTATGCGATTTCGGACGCACCCCCAGTATTTAGTCTATGCCATATTGATCCAGCCCTAACCTCGATGGTGGCTTTGAAGGGTGAGAATTGAGTTTACTATGTCGTTACTGCCATCTACTGGTCATATTAAATGTTCATTCAAGCATTTGGGTTTTGTCCTCACTCCTAATCAAAACAGTAGTAGACAATTTTATACTTTGTTATACAACAAGTTATACTTTGTTGTTGTATGATATAGCCGACAATATTGCCGACAACCGGCTGCCTTTGGATGGTTGTCACGGCGAATATAGACTGCAATTCACGTTTGAAAAGTCCACAGAGGATTGTAGCTCTGAGCATGTATTATCACCAGCCATGAAATAAGTTGTGTACAAAACAGATTCGTAAGGCACAATAATCAGTAAACAAATCAGAAAATATGAAGAGAAGTAATCCACATAAAATAGTTTGTGTGTAATTGCAGTACATGACCAGATAGTGGCAGAATGTCACTACTAAGTAGGCTACTAATTCAACAACACCAGAATCCCTGGATATATTGCATAAAAACTTGGTTATTATACGTCAAAGGATTAAACTAACAAACGTGCTTTAAATGTCGTACACTTTGACAAAATCTGTATGATCTTTTGGGGTTGGGGGTTGGGGTTTCACCTAAAAGTATTTTATTGTGTTTGTTTGCTTGTTTTGTTTTTATAATAAATAAAAACAAAACAAGTAGATTGAATAGAAAAAGAATAGGGAATGCTAGTGTTAGAGGGTCATTTTTAAATGTCAGTTGAACAGAAAAAGAATAGATAATGCTTGTGTTAGAAGGTCATTATTTATAATAAATAAAAAGAAAATAAGTAGAAAGAAAGAACAGAGAATGCTAGTGTTAAAGGCTCCCTTTTTTCTTTTTAAATAAAACAAGCAGATAAAATTAGAATTAGCATTATAATAGAGAGTGCTAGAGTTAAGATGAAAGATATTTGTTTTCAGCTGTTTGTTGAAAATGATTAAGGACTCAGCTGCTTGGATTGAGTTGGGCAGGTCATTCCACCAGGAGGGAACAGTTAATGTAAAAGTCCATGAAAGTTTCATCATAGGTAGAATGCAAAATGTTTAAATTCAAAGTAATTTATGCAATATTTCAAACCTTTAACCCACTTGGAAAATCAACCCATGGCAACAGTTTAAAAGTAAAAGCCCAATACTGTGGGAAAAAAAACGCGGACATGGCAACCCTGCATCCAAGAAGAACTGCCGGAGTCAGATTTGACTGATCTCAGGTCAAGAATAAGGAGAAATGACTGACAAGACCATGCTGGAGTATTTGCTGCTCAACAGATCCTGAGCTCATTGACAAATATCTGATCTTGTAAGATATGCTCCCTTTACACAGATGTGATCGCGAAATCAAAAGTGAACAGCGCGAACGCTCATTCAAAAGGGATTTAAATACTCTGCATACTGAGAGCTGCTCACTAATGCGGCAAAATTATATACAATATTAGAATGTTTAAAGGAGGGACACGAAAATCACGGGAGCGAAACACATGTTGCGGGAGCAGGCGGCAATGGTCAGAGATTCAGCGGGAGTGGGATTAAGAAAACAGCCAAATCCCGGACATTTTGGGTGATTAAGAATTCCCGGCCGGATGCATTTTTTTAGGTCCAAAAAGAGGACATGTCCGGGGAAAAGAGGACGTATGGTCACCCTAATTTAAAGCAGTAGTTCTTCACCTTTGTGACTGCAAAGCCTCCCATTGCCTACAACAATATTCTACATTTTTACTCACAGTTTCTACCCAATAAAATATTTTAGAGCTTGGCATTTTAATCATTTTAATTCAGCAACAACATTTAGCATCAGTTGGCTCAATTTTTCAGTCTGGCTTCACAAATGACACTTTCAGACTTGAAAATGCATTGGACACATGAGCAATCCTTAGAGACCTTTGACACATTGTGAGATGACCTGCATCCTGCACCTGCAGTGTGTTAGTAGCAGTTCAAGACAAGAGAAACAAGCTCTCTTCAAGACAATTGTCTGATTATAATGCTGACTGGCTGTACAAATAGGAAACCTGGGCACATTTAGACAGCAAATTTGTTGAGCATATTATAGGCCTACAAACCATAAGAATAAACAGGGGACAGAGTGAACCTTCTGTTTTAAAATTCCTCCCTCACAGCTTGATGTCAGAGGTAAATTTGCTCATTTTGTGTCTG